GTGTGTGTGTGTGTGTGTTTCTGTGCGACTGTGGGTCCTATGGGCACTGGTGCAACGAGGAGGAGGCTTCTTTCTTGTCCACCCTTCATCTCCCCTGCCGTTCTATTCTTTCGCCTCCTCCTTCCTCCTCCTCTTCCCTCTCTTTGCCATCACCTGTTCTGTTCTCTCCTGCCCTCCCCTTCCTGTCTCCTTGTCCTCCTCTCCGAGAATTTTCTGCGCGGGTCCCGCACGTATAGCTCGTGCCATCTCGCCTCTTTTCCCTCCATATGCCCAACGACGACGTGTTTGGAAATGCATGCATGCATGATCGTGACACGCCTAAATCGAGGGGGAACAAAAAGACATAAGGAGGGAAAGAGGAGAAAGGCCCCCATCACAGTCCCTGAGACACCACGCGGCAACACCTGCCGTCGTCACTCTTTTTTTTGTTTTCTTTTTTCCGATCTCTCGATTCTTTCAGACAAGCAGTTCGAAAAGAATGCAGCCGTCCAAGCACATTACCACCAGTAATTTCGTTGAAGTTTCTCATTACTTGCGGAGAAGCAATGTATATCTGTTGGAATCAGTATCGAGGATCTGGACTTGTTTGAAAAACGACTCCCCCTTTCTTCAGCAGTGGGGGGCACTTCGGACTGAAGATGCCTTAGAGCCTCGTGCCGTAGTTCCACGGCACTTGAGTTCAAGTGGGACACGAAAACTCTTTGTTCCACCCCCCCCTAGAAAAATGCTTTTTTGTTTTCACATTCTGCATCTCAAGTGGCCTCTCTTGAAACTCATGTGCAGCCCAGGCAAAATCGCAAGAGCCACCCTTGGGTTTCAGCCGTGGGTGCAGTTTTTTTTTTTTTTTTTTTTACGCTGTTCACGGCCTGTCCTTTTTGCAGTCCAGCCAGCAATGACTACCGGTGGCGGTACCGGGTGCCACCAGTGGAACCCTGGGCGGTGGTGGCTGCGGATTCCAGCAGGCCGTTGGGGCACACAAGCGCGGTGACCGTTGAAGCGCACGGTGCACTGTCATCGGGGTGGGGGGTTTCTAATCTGTCGCGCGCTGCAGCTGCACATAGCCATTGGGATGGATTGTTCTGGGCGAGGGATGTTCTACCCTGGCAGCGCCACATGGCAGTACAAGACAAGCACGGTTGCAGCAGGTTGCTGCACGGGCTTTCGCACATGCTTCTGCAAACCTCCATTGTCGTTTCCTGTAGTCTGCGCTGTGCTGCGACTTCCATGGCAGACCATGTGAGGAAGGTGTCGCTGCTTTGTGTGCCCCTCCTCCTATTGCTGCTGCTGCTCATACTGCACCTGTGGTCTTCGAGGCGTACAAGGGTTGTGCCCCACAAGCGGAAGAAGACAAAATCGAGCACACGTCTGGCGTGTAAAGGAGGGATGGGTGGTGGCGACGGGGCCGGGTTGGGGGGTTGGCGGTGGGTGGTGGTTTCCGTCGGATACATCCCGTTACAATCCATTGCTTTATGCGCACCTGCCACCGCATCTTGAGCCCTGTTCTTCTCGCCGCAATGCCGCTGTGCGCTGCAGATGTGTCGACATGGCGAGCAACGCTGTAACCACCAGCCGTTTCTCACGCTCAGACAGTTCTCGTCAACGTGGCGCAGAGCCGTCCACCAACACGGATGAAAATTGTATGTCTTCCATGGACGAGCTATGGCACTTCACTCACCCCACGGCGCACTGAACACCTCCCGGCGAAAGGAAACTGGTGGCGGTGTCCACCGCACTCGCATACGTCCAAGTGCAATACAAGCCCGTGTCCACTTCCGCGCGCGTGGCAATTTTGTAGGCTGCGGAACGGCGCACTGCACCACCAACAAATTTTTCGAATTTGAAAACCCGCCGCCCGCGCTCCCACACTGCGCCTCACCCCAAGCGGTCCCTCGAGTCCTAAACAGCACACCGCAGGTGGACATATTGAAGGCTGGGTGACGGCCTACTGGATCGCATGACCGCCAGTAGGTCTCCACACAACGAGGAGCCAGGGTGTTTTTCTTTCAAGTGCGACATTTTCAAGTGCGGTCTCTAGTGTGCATGGAACGAGGAGGCGGCGTAGTGTAAATTAATCACGATTTCGTGATTAGGGCGCACTTGAAACTCAAGAGTTCTCAAGTGGTGTGGAACGCGGCTCGTAGGGCCTCGTTCGACACCACTACAAAACCCTTACATGTAAGGTTCAAGTTTTCATCGTTCCACCCCTCCCTAATCACGAAGAAAAAGAAGTCAAACTTGTTTTCACATTCGTGGCCGTAAAGGTGGTGGTGGCACGCTTACATCCACGAAAAAAACATTTTTTTTTGTTCTTTTTTTTACCGCTAGGTATTGTCTTGGGCATTCCTGGTCCAACGGCGGTGTTGTCCGGTAGACCAGGGGACAGCAGTCCCACGACAACCTCCAACGGTCATGCAGTGACCCGACTGTACCCCTGCAGTCCCTCTGGTTTGCAGTTTCGGCTGGCATTTGGAGGCAACCGTTGCAGGGGTCCGTGTGGAGGCGGTTGAGATGGCCGTTGGCAGTCTTAGTAGCTCTGAATTCAGATGCGGGTTATCTACGACGCCCGTCGACACTGCCGCCCCTCCGCTGTCGGTCGTGATGTGTGATCTTGCATACCTGTTCGAAAATTGGCAGCTCCGTCCCTTGTACTTTGTTGGAGGAGCACATGGCTGGCATGGTGAGGAAGACAGCTCTGCTAATTTTCCTGCTTGGGGCGTTGGTGCTGTAGATCATTCTGCACTTGTGCCAACTGGCCGGTGCTCGCCGCCGACGTGGAAGGACTAAGGGTTTGAAGAGGCTTCGACAGGGTTCTTCAGCGAGCAAAGGCATGCCATTGGGGATGAATACTGTAGGGGGGCACAAGGTTGTGGGACAGGTAGGGGGGCCTACGGAGGTGGGAGTGGAGTGGCGGACATGATTTCATCGGACCGACTATCCCACGGGCAGGTAGGGGGGCCGCGATGAGGCCGGACCGACTATCCCGCGGGCCCAAAGGTGGCGGACATGATTTCGTCCGGCGGAACTGCAGGTCAAACATTCAAATTCCCCTTTCGGCCGCTTAGAACGCAAACGGAGGCACATGAAACGTAAGTGCGCCTAAGTGTAGGGTTTTCGTAAGTGGTTGTGTAAGAGACTTTAGCCTTATAACTGATTCCCAGGATACTATAACAACATGAAGCCAAAACCCTAGAAAACAATAATGGCATGAGTGAACACGTGGGATAATTTCCATGCAACAATTATGCTACGATCAGGGTAACCGGCGTTCAGGACGGGCCGACCGCCCGAACCCGAACGCCCGAACGTATGGGACCCCTTGGGGATACGTTCGGCCGTTCGGGCCGAACCCGGACCCTAAAAAAAAAAAAAAAAAAAAAAATTCTGAAAAAAGATATGTTATGAAGAAAAATAAATTAAACAAGATTTGCCTGAGCATTACATCCAAATTCCTTACCAAATTTGAAATGAAAATAAAATACGAAGAACAAATACTAATAATAAAAATAACAAAACATAAAAAGAGAATTAAATTTAGTGAATGCGCGAGCACTTTTTCAATACCGCCATCTTTGGCGATTTTTCATTTTTCTTTGGCGTAGCTAAATGCCCTGAAAATTTACAGACGTGTACTTACATAATACAAAATCCACTAAAAAAGTTTCAAAAAACAATAAAATTGTTTATAGCCCGAACTAAAGTGAAAACAAAAAGTAAAAAGTGAAAAAAAACGTGGGCGAGCACGTTTTGACACTGCCATCTTTCGCGATTTTCAATTCTTATTTGGCTGAGCCAAATGACGTCAACATTTATAGTCATGTGCCTCACATCATACAGAACTTAAAAAAAACAATTCAGAAAAAAAAACATTATTTTTAGGTCCCAAAATAATTTTTGGCGAGGGCAAAACGCCGCCGGGTTCGGACCCCGTATGGGACCCCGAACGCCCGTACGTACGGAGGTCATGGTTGGTGCGGGGACCTCCGTGCGTACGAGTTGGTGCCCCTATATATATATATATATATATATATATATATATATATATATATATATATATATATATATATACGTATGTATATATATATATAAGGGCCTTTACGGATTAGACCCCAAATGGATGCCCCAGCAGCAAGGGGCCATGTCGGCCAAACTTAAATTCAAGAGCAGTAACTAAAAAGACAAAGTTTATGAGTAAGCGTCGCATCCAAAATAAAAAAAAAAAACATTTTGAACAGTCACGGGCAGGACCTGAACGAACAGGTATTGGGTTCAATTTTCAAGAGTGAGTTAGGGTCATGTCTCCTCGATGAAAAGACATGTCTGTTCGGCAATGAGTCAAAGGCTAAAGTCCCAGTCCAGTCATAATCCCACGAGACAGTTCTGATTCAGCCCAGGAGTCCAAAAGACAGGCCCGATGGCCCAGAGCAGCAGCAGACCGTGGGAAAAGATATTGGGACATACACTTTGCAACAACAGGTACTCGGTAGGAAGTCCCAGACCCTGGAGGCCGAGTTTTCAGCCCTCACCAGACCAGTCCAGCACTATGAAGGACTGGCCAGTCTCCACATTCGGCAGAGGCTCACTTCGCATGAGTGTCTAGAAGTGTTGTGACACTTGTGCGCCAGATGTGTGTGAGTTGCGCTAGGCTGAAGGAGCAGCGCTATTGAAGGGGGAAAGAAGAGGGTGCTGGCAGAAGGAAGGCAGCCATAGCAGCGTCAGTGCTAGAT